TTTTTTTTCTCAAAAAGCTAATTGAAAAAGTTGCTTGGAGTAGCTTTTTGAATTTTAGCCTTTTGGAGTTGCAAAAAACTAATTAACCAAACATTTATATTAATATTTTAACTAACTCAAACAATTAATAGTGGTGAAATAAGTCAAAATTGGCCTATAAGCCAATTTTTTACCAAACAGGGCCTTTATCTTTTTAACTATATATATATATATATATATAAATTCTACTACACATAAAAACTATCTAAAATATACATTTTCACGATTTAAATATTTATTTATTTATTTATTTTGCATCTAAACTCACTAGAAATTTCTCTGAAATTTTTTAGAGTTGTCTTAATAATTTTGAAAACAATTCTCTTCTTATATATCTTTTATATGAATAACCATGCATTATATTCCACTATCTTGTTTTACTTATTAATATGTATATTTATGTATATTTATTGGAAAATATTTAATATATATATATATATATATATATATATATATATATATATATATATATATATATATATATATATATATATATATATATTAAAAAACTATCACTTTTCAGTTTCTGTTTTTTTTTTTTTAATTCATGCTACTTAAATTAAATTCTTTGGACCATGTCAAAGAAATTTCCAATTTATATTAATTGTTTTATAATATGGTCTACGGGGTATATTATTATTTATTGAGAGCATGTGCAATGTACCTCTATGGATGGAACAAATTGCCAATTGGAAAACGACGGCTTTCTAAAACTCCAACCATGCTCCTTCAGATTTTGACGTGAAACGACAAATCAAAAGAACTTACCCTACCATGGTAGGTATTAGTGTATGACCGATTGACCGTTGTTCAATTTCATATAGGATTGATTATTTGGTAAATAGTTGTTAGCTAATTGGATTAGTAGGTTTGACTAGTTGATTGTAGAAAAATGTTAGTAAATTGGCTGTTAGTTGATAGCTAATTACATACAAACTGACTCCCGCAAAAAGTTTGATCGAAAAAGTTATTTTCAGCAGCTTTTTGAATTTTAACGTCTTGGAGAAATAAGTTGTTACAAAAAAACTAATTAATCAAACACTTGTTGTTTAACCAAGTCAAACAACTAATAGTAGTCAAATAAGGTAAAATTGACTAATAAGGTAACTGTGTTACTAAACAGAGCCAGAATGTTACGGAGTACTTATTAGCTCACATTCTCACGCAAAATTTTGATTAGATGTTTTTTTTTTTTTTTTTTTTTTTTTTTTTAGTGACAAAGGAAATCACAGCTATTATATGATGGTATACATCCGATAAACTTTACATTGTAATCTATCAATTAAAGAACTACAGTGAGGTAAATTAACCTAAGTTGTTCATAATAGACAGGTTTAAACTAAGAAAGGTAATACGCAGCTAGATGGTTAATTTTATTTTATATCAAATAATGAATAATAAAAATAACTAGCAATTTCCTGGTTAAGAAAAAGGGAATATTGCTTATAATTTTGAGTAGCTTTGATTCCTAGCAATCTTCTACTCCTTCCCAATTGATGTCAATTGTTCTCACAACACCGTCGATGTTGAGAGAAAATTATTAGGGTTTCTATACCAAATTAGGAGAGCATATTAAATTGGCACTTATTTGTGTTTTTAGAGAAAGTTAATGAATTTTAATATTTACCCTTTCATCAATGTTAATTTTAGCATAAACTTGAGGAACTAGAATGCCAGCTAAGCGAACAATTCAGGGACTAAATTAAGTCACAAATATAATTAAGGGATTGAGTTTACCATTATAGCATAATTAAATAATTGAACTAAAATGCACATTTTTCAAAATAAAATTTCCAAAGGTTTAATTTGAGTTCATTATACAAGAGCTAGTTAATTAGCAAGCCTTAATTACAATCATGCATAGCAATGTTGTTAGATCTGATCTATCCCTTTTAAAGAAACATGCAAAACTATGGAAACTTCAAATTAAGGAAAAAGATGAAACGTGCAAAACTATGGAAACTTCAAAGAAAAAGAGGACAACCCTATACTATCCACTAGTAATTATTATATATTTTCAAGGTCAAATTAATTATGCTTTACTACCCTAGGTACCCACTGGGTAGCTTCTTTCTTCAACGTCATGATCAATGAATTATATCGACTCGGGTACAGCTCATCTAACCAAATAATCCAAAGGAAATTTTAAAAATTGAATTCGAATTCAATTCTTACCATTGATAAAACAAAAAATTAAAGTATTATTGTAAAAAATTGACCTTGTTATTGACATTTGAGAGCTAATATGTCAATTGAAACAGGTGAGAAAAACCAAATTGATGGAGTAAAAAATCATACATAATTATCAATTCATAATTTAGAATTTACAAACAATATTATATTTGCAAAAGTAATATAGAAAACATGCATATATTTTAATTTGATAAGCAAGAAAGCAACATTTTTTTAAGTAGAAAAAACGTATGTATATCAAATTGAGATTATAATAATGATTATGATTAAGACCAAATCATAATTATGTATTTAAACATGATAAGAAGACGCGGCGACCCACAATGCAGGATGCAACAGGTAATTAACCAATTTCACAAGAATAAACACACCTGGATACACGTAGGCTTGATTTTTCAGTTTCTGAACCTTATCTGTAATACTGTAACCACTAAAGTGATAGACAATATTTTATTTTCGCCGCATAATAATCTAGCACACAAGAAAGTGTGTGCAGATGGTTTGTTTTTATTATAAGAAAGGGAGATACCCTACATACAAATTACTTGCCTCAACTGAGGTTCGAATCTTTCAGATCCCACTTAGGATAGCAACTGGATACCAGTGGATTACAAGCCACTTGGTGTGCAGATGGTTTGTTTATACAATGATACTACCACCCTGTATTATTGTAATTCATATTGATGATAAATAAACAGTGATATATTAATCTCACTTTTAAACTTTAAAATCAACCCTAACGAAGTTAGTCGGACAATTGATTTGATAATTACAAAGTTTTAAGTCTTTTCATTATGAAATTTTAAAGGTAAAACCACAAGCATTTTAAGGTGTTTGTATAATTGTCTACATTGAATTGAACTCGGACTATGAATGTTTTAGGAGAATGTAGAGAACTCTTCCATTTTTTTAATACTAATTTTATCATGTTAACTCACTCATTGGTTGTTCCACTCCCTCAAGATATATCATATTTCTCAAGCTGAAACTTTTACCTTTTTATTAATTTTTGTAACATTTTCCATTTCATTATGGCACTATTAAGTAGTGAAAGTTAACAAGTCATTTATGGCCCTTGTGTTTGTGGTCTGAAACGGGCATCACGATTTCTGTTACGAAGCTTATAATGATGACACATAAGCTATTTAAGCATGATTGTCTCACTACTCCTGTGATAGTTTACAAAACTACACCATCTAGTTCCACATGAGAATATGAAAATTAAATAGTAGACAACAATGTTTATGAGCTTTCTTCTTCATTGGACCTATATCATATTATCATCAATATTAAATCCAACTGAAAGTCTAAAACACCATTTGAGAGCAATTCAATATTTCAAAGGTGTTGCATATTCACGAGTTTAAAAATTAGCATCTTTAATTGTACATCAAAACTATGATTTAAGGATCTAATTAAGGTGATAGATAATGTTAAATTATCATACATGTAGAGTATTTTAAAATTTTTATATAACCCTTCTATTCTTTATCTAAATGACCAAAACATATGTAAAATTTAAGACAAAATTAATTAATGACTGATGTTACAAAATGGATCACAATAATAGTATTTGTGCATAATTAGAAGGTGACATGCATTAGCATAGTACTGTAAGTGAGATACATAATAACTTTTATATTAAATAAAACATTTATAAACAAATAGATTTTAACACAAATTAATTAGGTATAGTAACAATGTAACATTAACATGTTTAAAGTTTGAGGAAAAATAATAATATTATTTTAAATTTATTGGAAACAAAGAGTATATTCTAATGCTCAATCAAGATTCAAGTTAATTAAGATGCTCTACAATCATTAAGCTACAATCACATGCTAATCTAGATTAGGGAAATTAATAGGATTAACGATACTAGAAAAGATTATGCGGAAAAAAGACGAATTCACCCAAAACTGAAAAGAGAAGCGACAAGAAAGAACGACTAGACGCTGATTAAGGGCATCTTTATTAATTATTCTTTTGGTACTAATATTCCATTTTTTTTTATAGTCACTCCAAATATTTGATGGACTACCCACCAAAATAATTGTAGGTCCGAATGACCGAAATAACCATCTGTCTTCTTCTGGAGTTCTCCATCTATCTCAGGCATTTTCGTCCACGTACTGGAAAAATCAACACCACTGGCCAGGCGCCGCGTATGATCATTTGATCAGATCAGTGCTCGACATTAGTTGATGTTTAGGTTGGATAGAATGTTTGGGCCCACCCATCGGATAAACACCACAACAATGCCCCAGATGAAGCCACGTACTCAAATGGCCCCACGAGTATCATCTTGCGCTATATCCAGTCAAGTTGGTTAGATAATAAATTTTGATAACTCTATAATTTTTGCAAATTAATTCTCTGTGAGAGCTGTCTATTATTTTAATTGATTTAGTTAATCAACAAAATAAATTAATTTATTTTAAATTACAAGACAGATTTCACCTAAAGTGTACGTTTGAGTAGCACTCCGAATTGTTTGTAAATCAAACGAAAATTATGGGTGAAATACTGAAATCAAATAGAGCATATTCGAGTATATCCATAAGTTTCTACACTGATCAAAATAATTGATCAAACTTACGTGGATCCTCGCTGTCTGGTCCACCGTAGCAGACCCGGTTGATCCGGCCATCCAATTGGAGCACGCCATGTGGACATGCGGCCCCCACTCTCATGTGCATGAACCTCGACTCCACCACGTAGGACCTGCGGGCCACGCTGTCGGCGTGCTTATGGTATATAAAGCCCGCTCCATGATTAGTAAAACCGCAATATCCTAAACCTTCCCTTTACACCTAATACTAATATTTTTTACCGCGGTCGGAATAATGGCCAGAGTTCCAATAAATCACCGGATTCTGGCGTTCGACAACCGCGAAATAGAATTTTCCGGCGACGCCGCGATAAATCTATCAGATACGGTCTTCGAATTCCTCGACGACGAAGGTCAAGGATCGTCCCCGGAGTCCATCAGCGACAATATTTGCGACGGAAGTGAAGCCGAAGACGACGAGAACGAGAAAAAAGACGGCGCCGACGACAGTGATTTCTGGGAAACTCAGCATCAACTGTTACAAGTAAGTTCAGATTCATGTCCTTTGCCGCGTGCGTGTGGATTTGAGTGTTTGTGAAGCATTGCCGTAAATAATTTCGTTAATTTTACATCGCAGGCCACATTATGCAGAACAACCTCGTTAGAGACGAAAATCCGGAACATTACTAAAGAAACATTAAAAGAAGCAAAACAAGGCGGAAACATCTGCGGTTGCCAGAAACTGCCGTTCAACGGCGGCGACTGCCGGAGCTGCCTTATGAAGGCGGTTTGCAGCCGCCTCCAGAACGCCGGTTTCAACTCTGCAATTTGCAAGTCTAAATGGAGAAGCTCAGATATTCCATCAGGTATATATTTTATTTATTTAAAGACGTCCAACAAATCGTGTTATTTTCCACGATCACCATTTTCTAACGTTGTTGTCGCTGAAAATGACATTAGCAAAAAATCTACAACTACGAGCAACATTTGTGTGGCGATCCGCCATTATTGTTTTTTTTTTTTTTTTTTCTAAGATTTATATGTCGGTGTACTGTAGGTGAACATACATTCTTGGACGTGGTGGATTACTCGACCTCAAAAAAAGGGGAGGTGAGAATCGTGATCGAGTTGAATTTCAGGGCGGAGTTCGAGATAGCAAAAGCCGGCGAGGAATACAGTAAGCTAGTTAAGAGCCTACCGGAAGTTTTCGTCGGAAAAATAGAAAGACTGTTATCTGTGATTAAGATTTTGTGCGCCGCCGCCAAGAAATGCATGAAGGAGAGGAAGATTTATATTGCACCGTGGAGAAAGCAGAGATACATGCAAGCCAAGTGGCTCAAAACTCGCGAACGTGCTACGGCGGCGCTAATGTTGCCGGCCGGAGACTCTGGCCGGCCTCGCCGGCCGAGAGCGTCGATGCTCACCGTTGATATGCTGGAAAATTTGCCTAATTCCCACCGCACAGCGGTCGCAGTCGTGTGAACTGTACAAATTTTTATTCTTATTTTTCCGGTCTTGGGCTTGGTTGAATAGTGCCACTTGTGAGAATAGAGTAAAGCTATAGCCTATAGATAGTACTTCTTTTTTTTTTTTTTTTTTTTTTTTTTTTTTTTTTTTTTTTTTTTTTTCTGGGAAAGTTTTTGTTTCAGGCCCATGGTCAAGAATTTGGGCCTTTTCAAATAACTAATCTATCTATCTATGGAGATGTTTGAAAATTGGTTTATCAGCTAAACTCTGACTTTAAATATCTTTCTAATTTAGCTTATAGATGTGGATAAGCTAAAACTAAAAATGTTATTTTTAGTAGCTTATTTATATTAATTTATTGTATTTTTTTGTTTTAAAATTTTAATTTACCTTTAAATCTTTAATAGTTATTGACTATTGTTGTGTTTATTAGTTATTGGTTATTGTTGTGCTTATATTTAATAGTTTTGTTGGACTCGGTTATTGGTTATTGTTGTGCTTATATTTAATGGTTTTGTTAAGACTGGGTCTAACATAAATTGGGTAGGGAAGTACAAGACAGTGGTAAGAAAATAGTAGTATTATTAGCTCGGGGTGTTAGGTCCAAAAGAATACGTACAAAGTCCGATATACTAGTTTAAAACGGCAGCTCAAAGAATACATAAATAATAAATAATATTAAGGCTAGGACCTCAAGCCCACTAGGGGGATTAAGTGAACCAAAGGATGATTTCTAAAGAAATGGAATTGTGCCTATTTATAGTGTAGAGACCCTTGCAGATGCTCGAAAAATGTACAGTACTAAATTGCTTTCATTCTTTGCCACATGCATCTCCCCACTACCTGGATGCCAACGATCTTAAGGTAAATGGAGCATCTTTCCTTCTTATACATTAAATCTGAGTAACTTGGGTGATTGGTGCTTGTGTGTTGTTAAGTGGGAAGTTGTAGGTTTGATACCACAAGTAGCACCTCTTATAATATTTTATTCCAAGCTTCTTTCTTTCCTTAACTCGATAAATTTCTATTATTCTTAGTGGGTCAACATCCCACCCATAAAGATGACACCCCGCTAGGACAGTTACATTAGCCAAGACTTTCTCAATAAAATGGATCTCCTGAGATCCCATGTCCCAATCAATATTAAATCAATTTTTATTATAATTTACATTCATTAAATCATCAAATCATCTAGAGGTTTATGTTAATCTGAGAACCTATCTTATTGTGTGATAAAACCTATGTTATTATTTCAAATGGGTGCTCGTAGGATTGCACTCAAGTAATGATCTTGTAAAGAATCATCAATGTCTAAAAAATGGATTGATTAAGGAGTATCACATTTTATGGAAATAATTCTCATTGGTTGAGATGCGCAATGTGTAATATGACGTTAGTTGGAACTTGGAAGCAAACTTGGCTTGGCTCAAAATTTCCAACATTGACATTTTCATGTGCTGACATTTTGTCTGATCTAATCCGAGGAAGAAATGAAGACAAATAAACATTTAATTTGCACTAATGCCGATTGCAAATAACTGTATGTGTATAGCTATGAAATTTGTTGCGAAAATGAGGCCAAGAAATCAAGAAGTAATAAGAGTAACCTCATTTGTTTGATTTTTTGTTAGTTTTTGCAGATTTATGTAGGAAATTAAAGAGAAAGGAGAGGGAAGAGAAATAAGGGGAAAAAGAAAAAGAAAGAAAAAAGCTGATAACAAAAAACAAAATAATAATAATAATAATAATAATAATAATAGTAAAAAATTATATTATTATTAACGCGCCTAGCTGACGCGTGTACTAAAGAAACTCAAGAAGTAGACTAAATGTGATTCTTTCTCTCGCTTTTTTAAATTCTCCCCAATTAATGGGACCCACTAAAAATAACATATTCTTACAATCTATATATATATAAAAGTAAAATCCTCCTAGCCAAGTTTTCCCCCCAAAACTTAGGGTCATTTAAGTAATATCAATATATTAATTAATTATGGAAAGAATATTATGGTAATATAAACTAATTAATTATGAAATATTCCTATAATATTGATTATGAAATGTTCTTCACCAACGTTCGTTGGTCACTAATTAATTATACCTATCATACTGCATAGTGCATATATTATATATAACTATGCATATATTATATATTATTATATATAAAATTACGATTATAAATATGTATGGAATATTCCGTCAGAATAACAAACATTATGGTAATATAATTATGGAAATTATATATTATTGTAGTCCTTTTAATTGTCTATATATATATAAAAGTATAAAATCCTCCTAGCTAAGTTTTCCCCCAAAATTTAGAGGCATTTTTGTAATATCAAATATTTAGACAAATATGGCATTTTAATAATATTAAAGATTTTACCTTTCTTGAGATCTCTTACCATTTTATAATTTTAATACTAAACCCTTTTGATCTCATCCATTGTGTATAAATACACCTTATATGACCATACACAACCCCAACTAAGATTAATTATTTTATTGATTTTTGCTAATCATCCTGTGATCTTCCACAGTTGAGGTTGATACGTGATTTGCACTGGTGAGGTTTTCATTATCTTAGTTTCTTTAATTTTTTTTTTCTTTTTGGGTTTTGTTTTGTTTTTATTCTTTTGTATTTTCTTATTTTTAAACAACAAAAGTGGTTCGTAAGAAAAAATGTTGATATATTCTTTTCTTTTTTTTGTCTATTTTTGTAGAGAAGATACGGATCTAGAAAGATTGATCGGGAAGCAATAGACTTCTAATCATCCTGTGATCTTCCACAGTTGAGGTTGATACATGATTTGCACTGGTGAGGTTTTCATTATCTTAGTTTTTTTTTTTTTTTTTTTTTTTCTTTTTGGGTTTTGTTTTGTTTTTATTTTTTTGTATTTTTTGATTTTTAAACAACAAAAGTGGTTCGTAAGAAAAAATGTTGATATATTCTTTTTTTTTTTTTGTCTATTTTTGTGGAGAAGATACTATACGGATCTAGAAAGATTGACCGGGAAGCAATAGACTTCTAATCATCATGTGATCTTCCACAGTTGAGGTTGATACGTGATTTACATTGGTGAGGTTTTCATCATCTTAGTTTCTTTTATTTTTTCTTCTTTTTGGGTTTTGTTTTGTTTTTATTTTTTTTTGTATTTTATGGTTTTTAAACAACAAAAGTGGTTCATAAGAAAAAATGTTGATATATATTTTTTTTTGTCTTTTTTTTTTTTTTTTTTTTTTTTGTGGAGAAGGTACAGATCTAGAAAGATTGATTGGGAAGCAAAAGAGTTCCTTGCTCATCAAGATGATAATGTTTTGTGATCGAGGGACGAATTATGTGTATATATAAATATATATAGACTTATAGAGGGAACCATACTAAGAATACAATAAAAACCAAAATGAAATTAAAAGCATTTTTTAGTTGTCAATATATCAAAGCATTGGACTTTGTTTCGATTCAATTTCTCCGTTTTTAAAGTGTACATTTTTTGTAATAAGAGAGTAGTTTGTCTTTCCCCTCAAGACGTTTTTCTTGCCATTTAATTTTATTTTTTTTAGGAAAAAAATGATTAAGTACTGTGGCTTTTTTTTCAATAGAGTATTATTTTGATTTTATTCTTCATCTGACATTCCTTGATATAAAATCACTTTACTAATGTAAAATAATGTTATTGACTTACCATGTTTGCTTCGATATGCTAAGCCATTTAAAATTTAATACGGAGTAAAATTTATAATTGTAATACTTCCGTAATAATATTGAATAAATATTAATCATATGTTTAGATTTAATAATATATTATATTAAAAGAATTATTTATTAACTTAATATAGTGATGGTTAATACGGGTAAACCATATATAAGCAATATTTCACTTTTAGAATATTATACCTTAATTATAAAAATTCTACCTAATAATTTTAGTATTAAAAGTCATACAATAATTACCATAAACAATATTTAATAATTGCCAAATTCTATTATGCAATAAAAATTACTATTATAAAATTTTTTGTAATATGGACACATTATTTTTAATTATTTTGATTTAATAATATTATATCTTATGTATAAAAATTCAAATAATACTTTTAGTACTATTGAATATTGATTGACTAACAATTATTTTAATTACTAAGGCAATTAATCGATATTTCGATTTAAAAAGTTTTCAAATATATGAATTATACATAGTAGCATTGAATCAATTAGTAAGACAATTATATTAGGTAATCTAATAAATAACTTACTTTTTAAATTATATCTCATCTTTAATCTTTAATAATGAATATTTTCTTAAAGTATATACATAGACTATGGTTATCAATATAAAATTAAAAGTATATATATATATATATATATATATATATATATATATATATATATATATATATATATATATATAATGGATAATATTATTAGTACAAAATAAGTTATATTTACCTTAATAATTAATTATTAATATTATTACCTAATAATTATATATTGTTACCTTTTTCGGTGTAATTATTATGGTAATTTATATACATATATATTTTTATACTTAATGTATAATATATTGGCATGAAAAAAATTATACTTATCTTAATATATAATTAATTTTTAATATAATTTCTTTATTTTTTTTAAAGATAATTATTTTGATAATTTTTCTTTCATTATTTTGTGTGATTATTATGGTAATGTATTTCAATTTTGGAAGAGATTATTACAAATATTATAATTAATATAAGTAATATAATTAATGAAATTATTATGGTAATTGTCACAATATTTGGTAATTATACTTAATATAATTAAAGAAATTGAGAAATATAAGATTTCTTCCCTAGAAATATTTGTGACAATTTAGTTAAATTACAATTAATAAAATATGAAATATAATTAAAGAAATTAAATTATTAAATTAACAAAACATGAATATTTCTAATCATACATACACTTATGCACTATAATAATCATGCAAAATTTAAATGCAACTTTTTAAATTTTTAAATGTAATTTTTTAATTATAAATCTATCCATATAAATTATAATTAATGAAATTATATTATAAAATTTTCTTATTTTCATTTTAATAAATATTATGTGCATATAAAATGAATTATACAATCATA